TCCCTGCAGTTCTAGTGCCCCGTCGGTTATTGAAGTAAGGAAAAATTTGTAATTTGGCCAGGGACATTCCTGGACAAGTTTTATAAGTACCGCTGTCGTGACACGGTAGAATAGGTAAGATATCACTACGTTTTGTCATCGGTAATATCGTTTTTTCGTCGGCTTTTTCTTCGTTTTCATGCCCATTTCAATTTTTGATTTTCATAGGCACCCAGCAACAGCTGTGCATAGCAAACAGCTGTGACAGCAGCTCTCTCTCCAAGAGTCGAATCTTTCGCGGTAATCCGTTTCCGCACCTCCTCAGCAAGTATTTTGTCAGCTATGTGTATTTTGTGAGATCTTTGCTCCGCGAATAAGCTTATACGAATTAATGCCTCGATTGCCTCTAGCCAATCGCTTTTCTAAATGCATATCTAAATAGACCAAGTTGATATCCGGAGATATGCAACTCGATCGGAAGTGCGTTTATCGCGTGATTTAAAAAACCGTAGCCTTTTGTTGTTGTTGTTGTTGACATTTGCTACAATTTTTTTATAAACGGCACTGGACCATCACCAATATGTGATCAATAACAGGGCAAATTATAATGTTTCAAGCTGTTGCTGAATCTCTGAATCAACTTTTTTATACTCGAGTAATCGATCCCACAATTGATTTATATAATTCTTAAATTCTCGTAGCAAAATAATTTTTCGTATATATTCCAACTCTTTGGCGAATAAACTATTGTCTGACACGATAAGAAGCATTTTGAATACTGAGCGGTTTCACTTTGTGCGCTATTATAAATATCATCCGCTCTCAATATCGTTTTTTTTCAATATTATCAGTGTCGTAAAGGCAGAAGATATGAAGTTCGTGCAACAATCGCAGACGATCAAAGTGACTAATGTCGACAATAAAATACAGACTGAAAAAGAAATACGCAAGCATGGAAACATGCTGCCGATTTCTATACACGGAATCATCTGCGGTCCATCGAACTGCAAAACAAACGTGTTGATAAGTTTGCTGGAAAGTCCACATGGCATATGTTTCGAGAACATGTACTCGAAGTCGTTGCAACAGCCAAAATATCGATACTTGGAGAATTTATTAGCACCGATTGAAGAAATTGGTTTATATTCTCCAATAATAACAATATATTATCACCGAACGAGGCGCTTCCAAATTCCATTTTGTCTTCGATGACGTGGCATGCGACAAGCAAAACGAAATCAGAGAGATTCATATTTTGTGATGAATCGACACGCGAATGTCGACTGCTTTTATCTGTGTCAGACATACGCAAAGATATCGAAGCATGTTATACGCGATAATGTAAATCTGTTGATCCTGTTCAAACAGGACGGTATCAATCTGAAACATGTATACAATAATCATGTAAACACTGACATGTTTTACAAAAATTTCTGTGAATTGTGTCGTTGCTGTTGACAACAAAAGTATGGATTCGTAGTCATAGATAAAGACAGTGCGCTTACGGAAGGACGATACAGAAAAGAATTTAATAAGTATACAATATCTTAACGTGGTTAGTCATCAATACATCAACTACACAACATTTTCTTTCGAGTGCAACATGGATAACAACAAAGAGCTCAAGGATCGCGAGAGGATAGCGAAACAAATTGCGAAAACGAGTGAATTGATTCGTAAAAAATACTGCGCTTTAAAAATCGGTAAAATAAAGGAAGATATAGCATTGAAGAAATACTTTAAACCTATCGTCGAACCTCTAAAACAAATTGTTGAAAACATCGCTAATGATGAATCAATTAAGAAAGAACGTTGTATAACGTTATAAGATAAAAATATTAAGAAAAGAAAACCTGAAGATAATGAAGATATTCATGATGATGAAGATGATAATGATGATGGTGACCATTGAAGTCATGAGAGGTCATCACCATCATTATCTATCATTATCAATCCTCTGGATGGATAATGATGGATAATGATGGTGATGACCTCTCATGACTTCAATTAATACCGTCGTCTAAAAAGTAATGTACAAAAGAATCGAACATTATGTCGAATTCCAATTATGCGTCGCCTGAATCACACGAATTATCGTACGAATGTTCGCATGTTTTTCTCAGTTTTTCTCGAAGACGTTTATGAAACGCCCAATGAACCGCTTGAAACGTTAGTTAAACAATCATTGCAAACCCAACAAATTCGTGAGGAGTTGCATAATCAATTGGGGATGCTTGGACAAAAATATGTAATCATGCTTCTCGGTGATGACAGAAAAAAGACGATCGATCACGTTTATGACGTATACCTCAGCGAGAATAGCACGATGATAAATATTTCGATGTAGACATTAATGACTTTGTGATTGTAGATGGAGTAAAGTACAAAGGTACACCTGATTTGTACGAATTAATTTTCAAAAGAATTCCCGGCGATATTATTTATATAGAAAATAATAAACTAATATATAAAAGTATACTGTTGGCAACAGGCGCAGTCATAAAACGGATAATCCAATAGTGAACAGCAAAGGGTACAAATTTATAAATATAATAGTACCCTTGATGTCAGGTAAAATACAAGTTGAAACAGACATGCCACGCGCCAGGAAACTAAACAATAAGTTAGGTAAAAGAGTCGGAAAAGGTAATACCACGCATCATAACCTTAAACGACAATAAAATCGATTATATTCATTGGGACGATCCTAACGAGCTAGTAGATCGTCTCCGATTGCTTGAGGCCTCGCATCAAGCAGGTCACAATGCCCACGATAATGAAATATTGTCTATTATCGAGGAGCTTCGTGAAGCTGGCTTTATTGAAACGAGATACACAGTCATTTTAGTTGACATCAAAATGTCGATAAACAACGTTTGCATTTAAGAACTTTGTGATATTTTACGCATTATACAGCAATAATCATAACATAACGTAACATGTCTGAGAAGAAAAACTTCGAAAAGTGACGAGTAGTGGAAGAACTGCACGCTCCGGCGAGAAAAAATTTTCCATGCAGACGTGTCATAGTTTCCGGATACGATGACATATGGCAGGCTGATGTGGTCGAGATGCGCCTTTATACACGATTCAACAAAGGTTATTGCTATATTCTCACTGTTATCAATGTGTTGAGTAAGCACGCATGGGTCGTATCGTTGAAAACCAAGCGTGGAAATGAGATGACTACAGCAATCGCAAAGATAATTCGAGATGGAAGATGTCCGAAAAATTTGCAAACCAATATGGGAAAAGAATTTTACAATGCAAACGTGCAAAAACTCCTGAAAATACACAACATAAATCAATTATTCAACATATTCCATAATGAAGGCATCTATCGTTGAATGGTTCAATCGTACGTTGAAAAATAATTTGTGGAAACAATTTACGCACAATGGAAATTATGGATCGATTTGCCGCGTCTCGTGTCTAAGTACAACGCGCAAATCCAACTATCGGTATGCGGCCCATCGATGTGACTCCCACGATTGCTGAAAAACTTTTAAACACGGTGTACAATAGCATAAAGACCGTCGCACTCTCGCGATTCAAAGTGGGTGACTCAAAGTGGGATACGTGTAAACAAATTCAAGACGATCTTTGAGAAAGGTTACACGCCAAATTGGACCATGGAAGTGTTTAGAGTCGTCAAATTACAGAAATCTAATTCTGTAACGTATCTACTGGCAGATTACCGTGGAAAACCGGTCGCTGGAGGATTCTATGAGTATGAGTTGCATCGCTAATCCCGACGTATATCTAGTTGAAAAGGTGTTGCGGAAAAAAAGGAGACAAGGTTTACGTGAAATAGCTCGGATTTAATAATTCACACTACTCTTGGATACACAAGGATAGTGTGTTATAAAAATAAAATTTACAAATTGTATAATTATTTTTATTATGTGTTTATTTATTTTCCTTATGTAAATATATATTAAATATAAATGCATTATACATGTTATATACATATTACAGATGCATACGTACACACGTACATACATATATACATATTATACATACGTACATCATACATACATACATATGTACATACGAACGTACATACATACTATACATACTACACATAATATACATATTAAATATATTATACATCATATACAAGTGTGTTTTTATTAATAAAAAATACATAAATACGAAAAAAGAAATGAATTTTTTTAATAATATTTTATCATGTCCCCATGGCAGCGTGTCGATAGAATGAACAATGTATCGCTTATCATCATATGAACTTAGAGCGATTTTCGTTTCGGATATGGTGTATACTTCGTGCAATTTCGATCTTATACATGCTACTGTCTACGCGTCATTTCAGTTGTGTCATTGAGACACTGCATATAATCAATGAACGTTATGGATCTCTACAACGTTGCTCTTGACGCCCTTTGCCTTCTTCTTTGCCTGGTATCTTTTTTGCCAGTGCAAGGCGTACATTTTCGCTCTAAGCCCGACGAATTCGGTCATGATCGCACTGTTTTCATCTTTCATTAAATCGGGAACGTTTTTATTTATTAGCGGAATGTCGTAAGAGCATTATCGATCGTGTAATCGCTCGTATCGAATCTATTGATATCGTGTTTTACAATAGCGTAGACATCGTCGCATTCGATAAATAAGGCTGTCCATGTCGGTATACATAATTTTACATTTTTCATGAAACAGCGGTAATATGTACTCGTAGTGAAATTCGTATAAACACATTTTAGATATATCGAGAATGCACATACCCACGTATATTGGTTTGTTGAACTTCACCTCGAGCATTTTTATCGCGACCAGGTTCTCGGAAAAAACACTTCTACTATGAAAGTTTGGTTTCGCGATCATTCCTCTACGTATCTCCCATCCCAACGCATTATGAGTCGCACATTAACATGATTAGGTACATTCTCCTGGTTTTGCCGAAAACCGAGTTGTTTATTAATTTGAATAAGTTTTTCTCGAACTCATTCTTTGCTAAAGTTCTAAAATTTGTATTGAGTATTCAATGTATGTGTGTGTTGATTTGTATTCAATGTACTCTCGAAACCATGGAGATTGCGTGAATTGCAGTATATGATGAATCTTTATAATGCGGAGATCGTGACGAATACATTGCTGCAGATTGCGATAATGTATGACGTAACGCTTTTTATCATACAATGTCGCGAGGAGCTTCTCCTCTTGCTTGCCGGGTGGTTTCTCGCGCATTGGACAAAATGGTAGACCAGAGTGTGCATCATGTTGCGGATACTCCAAGTCAACCTCGAAAATGTAACTCGTCGGTCAACCTAACGTAACATTCATGACATCAAAATTGTCTACGTCATCGACCCAGGGAAAATCGGCATATGGCAATGTTGACACATTGCCCAACCGTACAAGTTATTGACGTCATAGTACATCAGGTCGATGGTTTCGATGAATCGTACGATTGCATGTACTTGTTGTTGGCCTGCGCATATCTGTTTGAACATTGACTCAGACCGCCACGTATATCACGTTCGATAAATAGAACCATGTCAACGTCGGTAAGAAGTTCGAAATTGATGTGAGTATATTTCAACATCGTGTCCCACGTCAAACCCGGTAGTGTATAATAATATGCGGGATCGAGCCATAACTCGTGATGCAACTATCCCGAAAATTCTCAAATATATCGGCGAATAACAATACATCTGTTTTTAAATATAGATCATGGTAGTTCTGTCCTTTATACGCGGTAGCTATATCCTTAATAATAAAGTGTGTGTCCGATAAATTATGAAAAACTGTGGGAATGCAATATGAATCTTTATAATTTAAGTTGCAATTTGAGTGCGCGGGGCCTCTGTATCGCCCGATCAAGTGGTAATGATCGCGTATCCGTCAGGCGCGAACGATTTTTCGCACGCATGGCAGTGCGTAGCGCTGTTAAAATTTTACCAATCTTCTCGCGAGAAATCTGCCATGACATTGACCGAAAGTATAGACTCTACACTATGCGCTAAACTTCTGAGTTCCTCGGCGAATCATGTGACGTAATCGTTATTGCAACAAAATCGATACATACACAATGAGTTGTTGTATGAACCATGCGTGTAATATCCGATGCTCAACATCAAAACACGTTGTGATGTTATCTACACAATATGTTGACATATTCAGGTCTCTCTCCGTCTTCTCCAGGGTGCATTCCAGGTCGGCGTAGACCATGAATGGAATACGCTCCTTCCTGTAGTAATTGCTGAAACTCAACCACTTGTCGTCCTCGCTCGGCAACCTGATGGCGCAATTGTTTAATTTTCCACAGTCTACGTAGATATCCAGTTTTGCGCTCTAAAATAGTGCAAGCATCTAAAAAAAAAGTATTATATAATTTTTTTTATTGTCACAGAGGTTACAAAAAAATATTTTCATAATTTTCAATTAAATATATACACATACCTATCACAAAAGTATTTTTTATCTCCATATTATGATTTATGAGGCGGGACAGATCCTTTATCCATGCAAAATGCCTTGTATTATCGTTGCATGGATCCTATACATACAAGAGATTAACGTGTTTGCCCCCCTTTCGATCGGTAAGTCGTAATGAAAGAATTTCTTTTTGCTCTTTGATGAAATAAACAGTGATAGAGATGTTGTTGAGACTTTCAAATCTTTTAATTTGACTCAATGTCATTGGAAACTGGATGCCTGTGAGATTTAGCACTGTAGAATAATGACTCTCGCTCCGTATGCTTTTTAGCTGGGTATAGAACGGCAATCATTGATCAGGCAAAATGCATTGTCCATGGATTGCATATTGACCACCGTTCTCTTCATTTTAATTTCTCGTGAGAGTTCGATGCGACATACCGCGTGCAACGGATTGTACTTGTTTACGTTTACAATTAAATTCAAAATACTCGACTCGCTATCGCGTTCCTGGAATTCCTCCAACAATGTCAGAATAGACTCAATCATACGCGATGCGTACCATTCTTGCAAATCAGACAAACGGAAGAGTTCATAGTTTCTCGTGCTCACACTTTTATTCACACGTTTATCACCCGATACAAATTCACCATTAAACATTGTGTATCTTAATATTATTATGTTTCTGACTAACACTTTGCACATATTCCAGCACTATCTCTCTCGCTATCTTCGAGGAATTGGCGAGGTTCGATGTGTCCAGAGTTTATTACGGCACCAATCAATATACGGTTTTCGAATGATGTATCAACCTCGCGCCATCGAAGTCCCACGCTATACCCGGCACTCACTTGCACAAAACGTTCGCGCACAGTATCTTTCAAATTTCCGAATCTCAAGATCAAGCGATCAACGATTGTTTAACATCAATCGATAATCGTAGACGTTTAGCACAACTCTGTTCCTCAGTGATGAAATTATCACAATTGCTGTTCCCATGCAAGAAACTCTTCTCGTGTATTCAACTGAGCGGCTTGCGCTATGAGATCACACTTCGTTTGATCCATATTAAAATGTACTGTTTTTCACAGTCATTAAAATATAATTTTCACACAGTCACTAAAAAGTATAATTTTTGCACAGTTGCGTTAAATGTCTTTCACATTGTGCAAATAGAACATAGATTACATGGTAATATTTGATACAGCGGATCTCGGCATTATGTACGAGCACAATATGTTGTCTAATAACATGTTGGCAAACAGCGTGAAGACGTAAAAATAAATGCATTCTTATGATGAACACGATGAACAAAACTTGTCTGAAGAATGATTTGAAGTATATAAATAAAAGTATGTGACGCACATCCTATTTGTTCCATCCAAAATATTGATTTCAGCTCGCGTTATCGAACGACTTGTCATCATCATATTGTCACAGTCGCTTTCATAACATGAGTCCGCTATACCATAATCTAATTCTGATTCTGATTCTGATTCTTCTTTATCAATTATAAATTCATCTTCTAAATCTTCTAAATCAGTTTCTAATTCTTCATGTTCTGCTTCTACTTCTATTACATTTTCATATTCCATCTTGAATAAAACTCGAAGAAAAAAATTTTGAAAAAATTGAAGATTCGCGTATGTATTTCCTCAAACCTTTCAGTTTCACTACTGATAGCGTGTATACAGATCTCTCCATTTTTATATACTACTGAGGATAGGAATTGCACATTTTTGTGAATATTCTTTTTCCATTATCGAATTTTTTACTTTTGTATCCCTCTAGGTGATTCATAGTATGGTCTAATGTCTTCTACATCGATAAGATATGTAAATTCCACATTTTTGACAAAAGACTAGATGGAAATGGAATATTGATGGTACATTATTTTCATGAACAGACGTACTTTATTGTTGTTCGCGTCGATCTCTTAGATAAAAAAGGTTTGATATCATTAAAGTGCATTCTTAGTGTCATTGTGCATTAGGCTTAATGACAATTAAAAATTAACGTGCATATTTTTTAAGATAAGTAAAATTCTAGATTGGATACATTGCTTAAAACTCACTTTTGAAAAAAGATAATGGGAACAGACAGACTTTATTATCGTTGGCGTCGATACTTTTAGATAAAAGAGATTCGATATCATTAGAGTGCATTCTTATGATGTGTCAATTTGGTATCCTTCGACCACGTTGCAAATGTTCTTCAAATAAATAATGTATATAAAAAAAATCCCCTCCATTTTAGGGTATGTAAAAAAAATGTGGAAGGGAACACTATTTAAAAGAAGAGCTCCGGGCAAGTCCGTTCGCATTAGTCGTTCAGAGAGCTTCAATAGAGTTCAGACAGCTATTGCTAATTATAAGTTCTCTGAGAAAATAAAATATCTCAAGCCATGAACTATTACGTTCCAATTCAACAGGATGAGACGTACAAGAGATAGTAAGTTCATTTAATTTTATAAAATATTTTTGCTATATATATTGTTGGCGCTTGTTAGTATTAATGTAGCTCAGCAGGCTGATACCAGCCCATTGGCTTTGCGACGTGATTGCGGCGTGATAGCGACGTGTCGTGTCGCTGATGGAGCCCACCGAAGGGGAGGGCATGCGCGCGACTATGCTGCCTGCGTGTAAACCGCCGCGCTTCACACAGTTGGTTTTCTAGAAGATTCCGTGTGCGACCTCCTCGCGAATAACACGTGCACGAATGGTGCACAAGTTTTATTACTTAACTTTATATTTATTCATAAACGACGCGAGTATAATTCAAGTATAATAAAAAGAGGTCTTATATCAAAGCAGGGTGTATTTCATTTTTATCACACTCTGCCAATACCGACACGGACAAGTCACAAGACAGGAGACACAGATCTCAGACAAGGAGAAAATAGCGCAACATAGCGCAACGGGGACACCAAGGTCCTCTCCCTAACACATATTATACGTTATGTATTTTTGTAAGATCTATTTACATGTTTTTTTTTTCAAAATGTATTTTCTCAAACATCGTCTAGTACATCTTTGAAACCTCGCTAATACCTTGTATCTTGATAAGAAAATATGCATTGACATCGGCAGCATATAAATTTCTGGACATTGAGATCGTTGCAGGATCTATATCTCATGTGCAAATTGCGATTGGTCATAATCGAGGCAACTGCATGTTCATACTCCTCATGCTACGTGGAAGATCTTTATCGAGAGGCGTGCAGATATCGAGCGATTAATGCAGTTAGCAGTCCCATCATCATCACCGATTCAAGATCTAAATATGAAAATTATTAAAATTTATGATGAATAACGTGAAGTTAACATTAAATGGCACATGTTTGTACATGAAACCAACAACTGTGCTTTTCTTATTTGAGCTTGAGCAATGTGTTGAACATGTATTCTATGGACTGAGTCAATATACGCACAGTAAGAATTTCGAATATTTTATGTCATTTTTAAGATAAAATTGTATTATTAATAAAAACGATGCTGCACTTTATACAAAATTTATGATAAAAATTATAGAATGTGAACTAATAGTGTATTACATGATAAATAAATATATGTTAAAATATATATTCTTTTCTTCTAAAATTATTTTATCTTCAGTATTTTCGCCTGTTCTTCTTCATATCTTCGTAGTAGTATTGAATTAGTCAATAAGAAAGCGCTCTTGACCATTTGTATTACATTGATAAAATAGAATATTATTATAATTAATATTATTAGATTATATTATTAAAAATTCATAAAAATATTATCATAATTAGTTTCTAAGTCGTATCATTAAAAATCGTAAATATCATATCTATTGAATAAAATCGTGTGCAAAAAAAAGAAAAGAAAAGAGAGCGCAACGGGAGGAAGAGAGAGCGCAAATAATAAGTGTAGGACTGCAACGGGTAAAAGAGAGAGAATTGCATCTTACAATGGGTTAGAGAGAGAAGACAATAGTTTAAAGAGAGAACGCAACGAGTGAAAGAGAGAAGGAACAAACTCTCTTTTCCCCTCTAACACAGACCCCGATGACGCGATTCTCCCTCCCTCGAACCCAGCATCTGTGACTTCGCCCTCCCCATCCGCGCGACATTAGAGCCATCTGCTGATTGCTGTATCCGTGGATTAGAATCGATGCTTATATCTTACTGTCATTAATCTTGGATTACGCTAAGAGCAGATGACGAAAATATGCGCATAATTTTAACATAATAAAAGATGCTGATAACTAGGGTGCCGGGTTACGTTATGTCTCATTCAATAGTTCTTTCCGAGGTTATTCGAAAGAGCCATCACTTGATCCCTTATGCCATTTAGGACTTTTGAACGTATTTCATCCCAGGAGGGAAAAAGGTTGTTACCCCTTATGTCAAAAGATAGCCCTTCTGATGTAATAAGTGTCCTGCAAGTTTCATTCAATTATCTTCATCCGTTTAAAAGTTATTTAAGTATCCCAGCACTTTCAGAACACCCTGTATATTACATAATATTTATAAGATCTATATATTATTATTACGAGTATATTTACATTATATAACAGTTGCGCTCAGTATTTATTTGTAATCAAAGAATAACAGATTTAGTATTTATATCAGAAAACTTGCACTCTATATAGAGTACACAGTTTCTGACAGATTGAAATTTCTTATTCCCTGTTCTTAGTGCCTGTATTTTTCAGATAAGCAGTGACCAGTGTCTGAATAAACTCTGAATAAATAATGTTTTTTTGTAGCAGCATTTAGCTTTGTTTAACAATTAATTCATGGATCTGAGAACATTCCTGCAGAGAATAATGAGCATTCTACAATAAGTATTACTTAAGCTTTAAGTGCTACAAGAAAATTGATGAATTTCTTACAACTTAAGACTTAAAACTTAGGTCATAACATGTAATACAGGGTCCGGTAAAATGATCTCCCACATTGTAATCTTTAATAAAAATGCCATTGTAAATGCTATTTAGATTTTATTTTTATTAACTGAAAATTTATGCTATGCCATTTGTTTTTATTGAGTTTTGAAAATTACAGAGTCCAAGTGGCGACCATTTTTTTCGATACACATTCGAAGCTAATTTCTAAAAGTTTCCATCACTCGAGCAATAATTTGAGGCGATATTCCTGTAATTTCTTGGCGTATTGCTGCTTTCAATTCGTTTCATTCGGGGGTGGTGTTGAAAAACCTTCGCTTTCAGGTAGCCCAACAGTATTGTTTTGCGATCTGGAACTGGAGCATGTCTACCAAGCGCGAAGTGAGTACGAAAAGTTCTTTGCATCGTAATCACAGATTCGTTATTTTTCATAAATGTTTCAATAACGAAGGCACGATGCTCGCCCGTCCAATTCATGACGACAACTGAAATGGCAAGGTGCGAGCTACCAACCGACTACGCTAAGCTCTCCCTCTCTTCAGTGGTTCGGGGACAGTGGCGGTGCAAAATGTGGGAGATCATTTTGCCGGACCCTGTACTACTATATTGCTAACGGCAATTAAGAGCTGCCGAAAACATCATGGTGCAAACGATCGCTTCTCACTTCCACAATTCGTGTACTTTCGCAATGCGTATGCGCGTGTTCCCAACCTATTTTATCATATTTTATCACATTTATTGTGTCCGACGTATTCAATAGTGAAATTGAGTTTGTTATTTGACCTATATAAAAGTACTATACAAAAAGTAAAGTACAATTATATATTTTAGACTTGGTATTTCTTTTAATTATACTTTATAATATCTCTACAACACGTGCCATGAGTTCGTGTGTATACGTTCCCCGCATGCGCAAAGTACACGAATTGTGGAAGCGAGAAGTCGATTTTCTATCTCACTATCTTGGCACACCCCCCCACTCTCAAAAAGAGGCTGCGTTAGCAACATAGTAGTATTACATATAGCCTTGATGGAAGGGGTAATATGATATGTGTACGATAGAGTATATATTATAATAAGAGTACGGACAATAGGGTAACGATCGGTGATTGATCCGCTAAATTGAAACAAAAGCAGAAGTTGGATACGCGTGTGTACTATCAGTATATGTACACCATTTACACAGCCATTTACACTGTTTCCAGCGAGTTTTGAGTGCATCAGAGCCGTCAGAGATGAATAGTTTGTTTGTTCATTTTATTTAGCAAGTCGTTTAGACTGAGAAGAAGGAGAGGTGAGTGGATTAAGTGAAATTATATATTCTTTTAATGAAATAAAAACGTGAATTTGTGTCAATCATTATAACTTAACATACAATATTTGTTTTTTTGACACATTAAAGCTACAATGCCTGAGCAGATTACTGCACAAACCCAAAAAAGGTTTTAAAATGTGTCGTTTTCCACGAAAACCAGAAAGAAGAAAAATTTGAGCTAAAGATATAGGACGACAAGACTGAACTCCGTCTGATAATCGATGATATTATGTGAGGTTTTAGTTCGGTGTTAAGTAAGAATTTGCTTTTATGATTTTGTTAATATAAATAAATTATTAAACGATGTATATTATTCTCCAGGTATATTTTGATACCACAAATCTATTGCTGCCATGAGGTCAAAGACGCACCAAGCGCATACTTTTAATACATTTACGCGTATTAAATGTTTCACAAAAGAGACATATTATTTTATGTCAATCCTTCAATGTTTCAGTTTTTTAAAAGCATGACATCAATAATTAAATAAAATTTGGAAGTTCTTTCAATTCAAGATAATATCACAAAATTTTTATGCGAGAGATTCCAAGACCTTCCGTATTTGCTGCCAAATTGTCACGATTTTAAAAATAAAATAATTAAAAAATATTGCACATTTTGATTAAAAACGCTTTCTGTGATAATTCACGATAACAGATCCAATTTTGCTACTAAAAATATGGCTATGCACCTAAATATTAAACTAGTTATGCATAATAACCAAAGAATATTATTAGTGTTTATTATTTTAAATTTTTTATTTATTTATCATTTTAAATTATTTTTTATTTATTTATCATTTTAAATTATTAATTTGTGTTAATATTTGCTTATTATTATATATAATTGCAATAATATTATTGGATTTAACTATCAATTATGTTAATTTGCATTAATATTTGCACTTTATTTGACACGTATGCATGTGTCACTTATTTTTATTTGTCATATGATTGTGATTTCTATTTTGATTTTTACTGTAATATTATCGTGAAATAAAATTTGGTAATTAATTTATGCATTTAAAATAAAATATTTTATTAATTTCATATTTTATAATCATTGATGATTTTTATTTGTTATTGTGCGTGCGTGCGTGCGTGCGTGCGATCCTGAACTTTTTATTAACATTCGCATTCAGGAAGTCAAAATCTATAAAACACGCTTTTCTTTTTACTTACACCCTTGTTTACACCTTTATGGGAAAAATCAGCCTCTTTTTAACATCTTTCTTTATGTTAATAAATAATACGGAAAAAATATCATATTGTCTATAAGAAGATCCTAAAGTCGTCTGTATTACCAATTAAACCATATAATTTTTGTATAACAATTACTTTTTTCCTCTTTTACTAATTCGAAAGTTCTTTTCCAGGATTACATTATACACATTAAAACATGGTGGAGTCTATGTTAAGAACGACAAAAAAAAAATTTTGAAATTGATATCTTTTTTACCATTTTTTAATTTAATATGACGCTCCAGAGCTGTCACACGTGACTACATTTCCTTCATATAAAAGCTGTGCAATCCATATTTACGAAATACTAGTCCAGACTAATAGTTTACACGAAGAAATAACGTGAAATTCTTAAAATTGAACTTAGACATCTGATTAAAACATTATTGTTATACGAAAATTTACATTTCTGTGTGCGTGAGATTGCTGTAGTAATATGTAGTGATGTATCAATGAAACGTAAATCATCTGTAAGTACTATTTACAATATAACTAATCATCTTTTTAGGATCTCCTTTCATTTAACAGATATATGAAAATAAATCTTCAAATATATTCGATTTTGTTAAAAAACATTTTTTTATAACTTTGCAGAGTTAAATAATTTATATTTTTGAAAGACGAATGCATTATTTAAATTATTTTACTACGATTATATGTATAAAAATAATAATAAATTTATATTTCTTCTGAGTTTTCTAACGAAAAATTGGAAAATTAAATTCTATTCAATTTTTTTTCTAATTCGCTCTTCTATGTCTTGATCTCATGAATTATCTGTCTCATCCGTATCGTTCATATGGAAGGAAATTTGTATTCGCGTGCTCGATATCATTTTTTTAAATATGTATATATGTAAAACGTGAATTGACCCTAATTTAAATGACATACGATATATGAAGTTTTTATAACCGTACATGATGAATGCATCAATGATTTCTAATCGATGGACATTGGTTTACTATGTAATTAGCATACGCTACGCTGAACCGTTACTATGTAGAACTTGTACGTGATCGAACAGTACTATTCACATCGAAATGCTTGAAGTCTACTCTCGATGAAC